CCAAATCTTGACAAGGATCAGAAATCAATGCCAGGATTCTCTCCTAGAAAGCTCAGATACTCCTCAGAATTCTTCTCTACCCAAGACTCCAGACTGGAAGTAACAATATATTGCAGCTGAAATGAAGTTTTTTTGCATCCCAGGGTCTTTTTCCCTCCAACTTGATACAGCAACTATTGCAATGTTTATTTCCAAAATTAGTCATTGTAGAAATATGAAAATGAGTACAATTCTGTTTCTGTTTCTACCTTGGAGCTTAACAGGAAAAACGTCAAATTCCCAAAGAAAGCATAAATCAGAATAAGAATTTATACGGTAGGAATTTTTTTCCACATTTTACAAATAAAGAAACAAAAACTTACTAAAAATAGAACTACCATATGATCCAGGAGTTCCACTTCTGGGTATTTATCTGAAGAAAATGAAAACACTAACTCAAAAAGATATATGCACCCATTGCAGCACTATTTACAATAGCCAAGATATGGAAACAATCCAAGTGTCTATGGATGGATGAGTGGATAAAGAAAATGTGGTACATATATCTACAATGGAATATTATTTGGCCATAAAAAGAATGAAGTATTGTCATGTGCAACAACATTGACCTTGAGGGCATTATGCTAAACGAAATAAATCAGACTGAGAAAGACAAATACCATACTCACTTACATGTGGAATCAAAAAAAAAACCTTTAAATTTAAAAAACAAACAAACAGGCTCATAGATACAAAGAACAGACTGGTGGTTGCCAGAGGCAGGGGGTAGGTGGAGGATGAATGGGTGAATGGGGTCAAAAGGTATAAACTTCCAGTTAAGAATAAGTAAGTCCTGGAGATATAATGTATAGCATGGTGACTATAGCTAATAGTACTGTATTGCATGTTTGAAAGTTGCTAAGAGAGTAAATCTTAAAAGTTCTCATCACAAGAAAAAGAAAATTGTAGCTATGTATGGTGATGGGTGTTAACTAGACTTGTAGTGATTATTTCACAATATATTCAAATATTGAATCATTATATTGTACACATAAAACTAATGTAATGTTATATGTCATTTATACCT